TCTCACCCACTGCTTTAATGCTACAGTGACAAGGAGAGGGAGAAAGTCCTGGAGACAAAGAAGCCTCATCTAGAACTTTTCCATTCAGAGATGCATGAATTAAGTTCACACGAAAGGGACGTATCACAAGAATAGTAAGAGCTGGGGTTTTTTTTTGTTTTGTTTTGTTTTTTTTTATCTCAAATTTAAGCAGAGTATTAGTTAGGCTCTCACCTTAGCAGTCCTTTGATCTTTCTTCAGAGATCAACCTTTAATTAATGGGTTGATGTTCTTTCCTTATGACCTTCGTTTGATTCTCTTCTAAAAGTCAACACAGGCACGCACACACACTGGCCCATGCACCCATGCACACGTGAACCCATGCACACCCATGCACACGTCCACCCACGCACACACCCTTGCCCATGCACACGCGCACGCACACACAGTAAACATTCCTCCTGCTGTGACTTCAGTGGGTCTGCCTGAGTGACCCTTCCCCCTTATGCTCCATAAGAGGGCTGGAGAGGTGGCTCAGAGGTCAAGGGCAGAATGCATCCCCTCCAACTCCCACCCACATCCCCCTCAATGGCTCCTCTGTGAGAACTTTTCTCTGTGGCATCTAAGCTCCGCTGAGTTAAGAATCTGTGGCGATTACCAGGGAATGGGTTTACAGCTGGCTTTAATTTTTCTTGTGTGCTTATTTTCATTCTAGTAAATACTTTTTGAGGACCTTCTATTTCCCAGATGTGAGCCAGGCACTGGGAGAAAAAGGGAGCAACACATACCCAACTGGGGACTCACAGACAAGGAAATCAGCAATGGCCAGAGTGTACCGCGTGCTTTGATGGGGATGCGGGGTGTGTTATAGGCACCACAGAATATGTGCCTCCCGGGTTACTGCTCCTGAGACTTCAAAAAGGAAGTCACTTTCAAGGTGAGACCCAACAAATGAGTTATTGGCTTTTCTATTTAATTTTTATTAAATTCCATGGCCAACAAGATATAGTAGGCATAGGTCCTTGCCATCATCACCCAAGTCCAATCCCTAGATCCAAATAGCCCAAAGAAATGACTTCCAAAAATTGTCCTCTGATCTCCACCCATGCATTATAGTGAGCATGTGTATGTTTTAAAGATTTAATTTTTAACTATGGTGGTGTGTGTGTGTATGTGTGCACCTTATTTTGGATGCATGAGGTCATGGGTACAGGATCCCCCAGAGTTAGCTGGAGTTACAGGCAATTGTGAGTTGCCTAATATGGGTGCTGGATTTGAACTCAGATCCTCTGCAAGGTCAGGACATGCTCTTTACCTCTTAGCCATTTTTCCAGCTACACACACAATAAAAATATCAAGTGCAGGCTACACAGAGAAACCCTGTCTTGAAAAACAAAAAGTTTCAAATGCAACAAAATCCACAAGTTTACTAGATCCCCTGATGCCCAAGATGCTTGATTTTTCAAACATAATGCTGAAGAAAACTAACTCTAGCTGGGGTCTGGCTGGAGGGCTTTGGGTCCCACGAGCCCTTGAAAAGGATGGCTGGATTCTAGCCTCTTTTTCCTCACATCCTCACAATGAGGTAAGAGTTCTGCCACGCCAGAGTGTGTTGCCTTGCCCCAGGCCCCAAATGAGAATGTACGGAAAACCCCAAAACAAAGAGCCAAAGCAAACCTTTCGGCAGTTGATGATCTCAGTCCGTTATACTGAGAGATTCCTGTGCTAAGGCAAGGACTGTACTGCTAATGACTTTCCTGTAAACCACGTGGAAGGACTGGACAGGATAAAGCAAGTGAGTCCACTGCGCTGTTGTAAGCCAAACCCTTTACCATGAGGCAGCAGCTCTTCTTGCTAATTGGGGGCCTAGAGGGCTCCAAGCTTCACTTTTGAGGTAACGCCCACGTTCCAGGCAGCTAAGCCACAGCCTCTCTAAGCTGTCTTGGTCCTTTCATCTGCAGAAGACAGGCATGGGCTGCTGGGGAGGTGGTGTAGATCTGGCCGGTGTCCATACACCATGAGCCGTTTAGCAGAGAACTTGGCCACTGTGCAAAAACACTTGAAGTGAATTCCATGTGTGGAGATATCCCTGCAGTCTGCCTTTTCCTTCCCTTTTAGAACACATATGTAGGAGCTGCCAAGACCCGTCGCACACAGCCGCAGGCACTATTTTTGCTTGTTGTTAGGGTTGGAGGCAGGGAACCCTGAGATGGCTTTGCCTATGCTGTCAAGTTCTCCTCTTCCAGGACCTTGGCAAAGACATATGCCTTCTCCCCTTCAGAACCTAGGCCTGATCATGGGCCTGCAGCATGACAATGCAGTATTAAGTCAGCTGCCACACTGGCTGCAAAAAAATAATACATCTTTAAAAAAAAGAATTAAAAAAAGGAAATGTTTTCGGTCTCATTAGCTTTCTTCTGCCGTGGAGCTCGGTCTGCACAGCAGGCTCCCCCCCCCCCCGCCCTAATAATGAATATTTCAAATACAGTATCTCTCTATGGAGAAAGCCACTTCAGTGCCAACAGCCTTGAAGACTGTCTACTGAGATGATTATTAAGGACTATTGTTATTAAGGGCGGAGAAACATGACGTGGAATGAGGTTTGGTTAAGTAAAACTAAACAAATGTTGGAGACAAGAGTATTTTCTTTAAAAAGTGAAAGACAAGAAAGGTAAGAGTAATGTTTGTCTTCTTGAGCACTGCAGGTGAGGGGTGGGCAGGGACAGACTCTGGGAAGCGCTGCTGTGTTTAAGGAGGAAGGCAGAACAGGAGGAGGGGGATCCATTGGCCCAGGCCTCCCCCTGACAGCCCATTCGCCCTCCAGCAGGCTGAGCAGCTGGTTCTAATGAAAGTTCTTGACAAACCACTACTCAGCAAACTGGTTAAATTACTCCTTCCCTGTAGCCTAGCACAGGGCCTAGAGTTCCCTCCTGCACGGGCTGCCTCAAGCTCAGCGCCATTTACGAACGTTGAGAGGCTGAGTTTGAAGCTGCATCCTTAATTAATGACTTGAAGGTGAAGATGAGAAACCTAAAGGATTCCCATGCAGCGATCACAGGGCAAGGAGGATCTAGGCATGGCCTCTGCTGGTTACTGGATATCAAGATGTGGTATCAGCTAGTACATATCAGTCTGTATTCCTTTCCAACATCCCCACACACACTCCAAAGACAAGCGGGCCTCTCCATTTCACCATGTGTCATTTGCAAAACCCATTAGGCAATGGGAAACAAGCATACACCTGTGGTTTCCTTATGTACCCTCCACCGGGATCAGAGGCCCTTCCTACTCTGAAGTATTAATGTGTCTAACTTTGTGTGAATCTTACAGACATGAAGCTTCAAGGGATAGAATTTCTCAGGATGAATTCAGAGTTCTAATTTAAAAACAAAAAATGGAGGTAAGGCTGATCCTCAGGGATAAAACACTGCCCCCCATCTTCCTTGTTTATTCCCCTCCCCCCCCCCATTCCATGTGCATTTTTCTTTCCTGTGCCTGTGATAAAATACCCTTGATCAGGAAGGGTGTATTCTGGTTCCGGTTCACACTTCCAGGGTTCACTCCCATCGTAGCAGGAAAGGCAGCAGGAAACTAGTCAAATTATGTCCACTCAGAAGAAAGCAATGTATGCTGATGCTCAACTTCAACTCTCCACTTGTACGGGGCCCAGGATTTGCTGCCCAGAGAATGGTCCCATCCATCTCCCAGATAATTCTAAATCCTGTCAAGTTGACAACACCAACATCACACCTTGGGACACAGAAATACTGCTTATCGAAAGTGCTTGGTCACTAAGTGTGGTGGAATGTGCCAGTAACCCCAGCATTAGGGATATAAAGGCAGAAAGATTATGAGTTGGAAGCCAGCCTACCTGGATCACACAGCAAGCTCCGTGATAAGCTTTTAGAAAGCAAAACCACATCTCTTAAAAAAAAAAAAAAAAAAAAGGGTGGGTTATGGGTTATGGGTACTGTGGACACTAACATGTCACACACACCACTGCTAGATACCCAAAGTGTGCAAGGACAGGTTAATGACAGTGCATGCTGGGCATTGTTGGTTCAACCGACCTGGTTTAAGTATTAAAAACATCTGTGTAAAATGACCTCGCTGTGTGCATCTGCGTAGTCCCGGGGGCAGGGCAGGTGGCTGGGCACAATCATTAGAACCAAGGCTGTCTTCCTGGATGCAACAAACTTTTATTGCAAAGCCTCCATGTACAGCACATTCAGGGATGAACAAACAGGCGAGCTGCTCCATTTCAGAGACAGAGACATAAATAAATGTCTTTCCTAATTCAGTTTAGAACATTCCACAAGGGAGTGACCCTCCTCATCTTTCTGAAGACCACTTGACATTTTTCAACAGATGATTAGACACACTTAAAAAAACAAAAACAAAAACCCAAATAGGATGTATCCTGCAAGGAGAGAGGGTGAAAACCCTTTTCCATACTTCTAGACAAACACATGTGGGCAGTTCTACTTGATGTAGCAAGAGATTTGCTGGGGCAAGATGCCAAGGAAAAGTGCGTGCTTTGATGCCAAACAAGCCATCCCAGAACAACTAACAACCTGGGCAGAGTGTTCCTGCCCTTGCCGGCTGGTGATACTTACCGGTCTGTCTTCAGGACAGAGTAAATCCTTGACTAGCAAATTCAGAGTATCACTGCATTTGGGGATAGTAGGGAAATTCTTATATCACACATGTAAGGGCTCCTAACTACCTGATTAGAGCAATTAATATTAATTGTATTAGGGTTTGTTCTATATACTGGGATGGTTTAATTATTACCTAATTTTAGTTTTATGCTTTCAAGAGAGTCAGAAGGAATGGAGAGAAACAGTGTGACCAAGTGCTCAGCTGTGGCTACAGACCAGCCTCTGAAAAGGCTATCTACAGTTCTGGGACAGAACTAAGGGTACTCATTACACCCCAACCCCACCAAAATAATCTACAGCTACTCTGGTGTTCCAGCTACAGAGGATTTTTCTAACAACAGAGGCTTCAAACTCAACATCTACATTGTAAAATGTGGTATTTTATCAGCAAATAGGCTCAAAGAGCTCTTCCCAAGAGTGACATCACAGAAAGACCTATCGATTAATCCGTCAACTGATCACTCAGGCAGCTGCAGACTTAGACTGCTGCTCCTCGATTCCCCACACTCGGCTCAGGCAGACACGTATGGTGGTGGTGGCTCCTTGGCAGTACCAGTCACAGCAGTGGCATCATCGTACGGAGGCAAAAGCACCTGGAAAGGAAAGCCCGTGTTTAAAGTAGGCATACAGTCCCTGACTCTGCGGCTAGGCTTTAAGTGAGCACTCATGCAGTCAAGCACCCCTGTGACCAGTACTGTAATTGAAAGTTTTTCAAAAAAAAGTTCTTCTCTGTCTCTCCCAGTCCCATTGGAGCAGTTTCTCTCCTGCCCGCCAATCCCCATAGCCACTTAATAAATAATCATTCTGAGGCTTAATATTAATTATAATTGTTAGGCCAATGGCTGAGGCATATTACTGACTAGCTCTCACAATTAAATTAACCCATTCTTATTATCCTATATTTTACCACGACACTTATGCCTTGTTACCTCACATCTTGGCTACATGGCGCCTCCCTGACTTCACCTCCTCTCTCTCCATAACTCTGTTTGGATTTTCTGCCTGGCTCTATTCTACTCGGCCACTGGCCAAATCAGCTTTATTCATCTAACAGTAAAAGCAACACATATTTGCAGCATACAAATGATATCCCACATCATAGTACTCAATCCAGCTTCTCACTAACTGGTAGATATATTTCATGAGAGACTCTGAAACCTTAAAACAGCACCTGGGGAGGGACTTGTGGGTCCTCTGCTTTTCCTGTATCTGTGCCTGCACAGCTAGATGGTGTGTGTGTGTGTGTGTGTGTGTGTGTGTGTGTGTAAAGGAATAAGGAGGCGACAAAGGTTCTCCCAGGTGTGTGTGCGCACAGGAGGGCAGGCCCACTCAGTACTGACCTCAAGTGACGGTGAGAACCGTAACCACACTCAAGTCCCATTTTTATCATCATATCCTTGAGCATATTATGTACTCTTGGGTTTTACACCTGTAAAGATCTGAAGACCTGAAGCCTACGAAGTACCTAATCACCCTGCTTGACATGACCTGTAGAAGCTGGACAGGAACTAAAGAGTAGTGCTGACTGACAGATAAACACCTCTGTGCTTACATTTCAAGCACAATACCAGAACTGCTCAAGGTTATCCACTGCTTAGAAAGAGAATAGAATAACAGATGAAAACCACACTGTGTTTTCTACTCTAGATTCATGTAGACTAAAGTATATATTCATACATGTTATTAAAGTATGCCTGTCCCATAGGCTCCTGGAGGAATACCATTGCTAAAAACCCTTCTGTTTCTGTCACACCTGCCCTCCGTACCTCACCACAACACTCCCACCCCTCTCTAGCTTAACACATGTCGCTATTTGTCTTTTCCACTCGAAACTCCCATTAGCTCACTCAAGAGTGGGACCTATTATCCACTCGACAGTGGGACCCTGGAGGTATGAACGGTACACATCGTTTAGTGGTCTCTGAAGTTTCCCCAGTGCGGAAGTTAAGCTGGCCCACACACAGTTGTCTGGATTGTTTGAACTCAACCGGAAATCAGAAACCACAGTCATGTTATTAACAAGGGACTGGAGGGATGAGGACTTCATTAAGAAGGTGTGGCTGGAACTGCTGAGTGGACAGTACCCTTTCCTGTTGCAACAGGGCAGAGCCCATCATCTACTATCAGCAAGGCAAAGCTAGGATGTGTAAGGGTGTCCTGCTCAGACTTCTCCGGGCTAGCCACAAGACGAGAAGCCATGTCCAGGGGAAGCCCTAACACAACCTACCATTGCTACTGCTGCTGTCCCTACTTCCTACTCAGAGACATGGGGAAGGGGACACAAGAACCCCTATCACCTTCTCTCATATGGTGCATTTGACTGGCATGGCTCACAGGCAAGCAAGCGACAGACAACTGGCAAAGTCTAGCTCCAATCAGACTAACTGTGGAGCTCCAGCACAGCAAGGCTCCTGATACCGGGTCCCAGAAGCAGCTGTTCCTGGCAGCTCTGTTGTCTTTGTTTCCACAGGGGGCAGTTAGCAGTGTCCCTGCATCCTAAATACTTCACTGATTAGGCAAAGGATGCTTGGCAAGGAGGTACCTGTAGGGGTCCCCACAAAGGATCCAGCCACTCTTCTGACAGATCTGTACCCTAATCGCTGGAGCACTCAAGGCACTCACATCTGCAACACAAGCCCAGTAACACTCTGTGCTGTCTGTTGAGGGGCAGAACAGGCAAAACCCGAAAGGACCATCAAGAACAGGGGGTACACTGCAGACTGGACATCAAGAAAAGCCTCCCCCAACGGCCAGAAGGCAGTGACTAGCCAGCAGAGAGAACACTTTCTCATGGAAAGGTGAGTATACACTTGGGGTAGGGAGAAAGGCGGCGGGTTAGCAGCTTCTGGAAAGCGTGAGGGGCTGGCCACTGTCTACCTATGGGAGAAGGCTGGGAGACGCAGTTGGGAAGGCAGGCAAGGCTCTACACATGTGGCCGTGGCCTGAGCCTCCAGCACACATGACTATGTTTGCATCACCTAGGATAACCTATGGCTGGAGGAACCCAGGAACAGCCCTGGGAACATTACTGTAGGATGGCAGTCGGGCATTATCTTCCACTGAGGGATGATCGGGCCCCTAATCTTACACAGTGGTACTGTTGAGGAAACTAAAGCAGCTTTGTTTCTCTCCTTTCTCACAAAAGGAAACATTCAGGCTAGACTTTTCTGAAATGCTCACAAATTGAAGGCGACATTTTCTTTCCAGGGAGACACAATTCTAAATCCTTCACACTTTGGTATTCTCGATATTCATTATCAAACCTGTACCAAAGTCTCCCTGTGAGTCAGCATTTCAACACTGACAATCTTCTCTCCGAAATACTCCACTGACTTCCACTTGTAACGGAAGTCCATCAGCCAGAAGAATTTCTCCTTCCAAAGCTGGTGACAGACACAGTTTTCACTGTTCTATGCTGATTGTGAAATAGTCCTGACATGGCACGTGACATCTCTTGCTACTTTGCAAAGTTCTCTGGATGAACTAGGCTGAATTCTCGAGGCTCAGCATCATCTTATCTGAATGATGCTGAACTTGGTCCTGGCTGAAAGGCGGGATGGCTGTAATTTAAGAAAAGCAGTGTTTAAAAGATACCCTGAGAGGGTTCAAGCAGAGGGTTTTTATTAAGGAAAGGGGAAGGGGGAGACCAGCCTCCTCCAGGGAAAGGAGCAGCAGGAGAGAGGAAAGGGAGGGAGAGAGATAGAGAGAGGAACAGACAGAGAGAGGGAGAGAAAGAGAGATAGGAGGTGAACAGGACCCTTTAACAGGCACAGGTGGCACTCTTAGTGGCTGTAGCTGAGGGCGTATCCTGTCAGAACCCCAAGAACTGTCAGACCAGTACAGATGCCTGAATACTGACAAGGATGGTGAAGAGGGACCGCCATTCCATTTCTATTATGGTCTGTTAACGCTGAGGATGAAGCCAGATTCCTTTATTGCAAGGCGGATGAAATACTCGTACATCAAGAGAAATAAATAACTCTAATATGATTAACACAAAATTTGCCAACAAGGATGTCATGACATTATAAAAGAAAATGTGATTATTTTGACATTTTTATCACTTGGCATTTAAATGATTTAAATTAACCATTCACAATGAACCATCAAAAAAAAAAAAAAAAAAAAAAAAAAGGCCAAAACACCAAGAACATAACTTGCTGCTAGTGGCTAATGACCAAGTGAGAATGTGCAAGTCCAACACAAATTCTACACATGTGCAAACACCCTTTTCGTCTCCACACACCCTCTCCGGGGGAGCAGTGTCTGCCTGAGGTGTGTAGTAGGATATTCACTTAGTCTCCTTCTGTGGCACTGACCACGCCCATTGGGGTGGAGCTAGGGGTGGAAGTGACCTGGAACTAGGTCTGAGGAGGGGTGGGGGAATGCTCTCGTGAGCCCGCACGGACAGGAGGACTTCCGGAGGCATCCTTGGGAGCAGGAACCTGCTGGTGTTCACCTGTCTATGTTGAGAGTTATTTCTCCCTGAATAAACATCTGTTCGGCCTAATTGTTTATCCAGATCCTTATTAAACCGCATTATCTGGTGTCAGAAGTGGGATGGAGGCTGGGGAGACCAGACGCCAGCCTCACTCCCCGGTAAGATGAGACCACGTGGAAATACTTAGGTTAATAGAAATGGGTTAATACTTAAGACAGGGCTAGCCAATGAGAAACAAGTACCCGGCCAACAGCATTTATCTCTAATACAGAGTCTCTGTGTGCTAACTGGGCCAGGAAGACACCCAGTGTCTGTACATGCACACATGTGCACACACACAACACTATACATACAATGGATACAATCTGGAAAACAAATTCACTTCATCAGTTAATAAAGAGCTACAGCTGTGCTTCGTGTAACAGTGGGGCTATATTCCAAGAAGCATACCATTAGGCAGTATCATCATCAGATGCGAACGTACTGGAGGGTATTTTCATAACTAAGATGGCGACATAACCACACAAGCAATACGGTTATGGGGTCACCAGGTAACAGGCATGCCGCTACAGACTGAAACCCTGCTGCCCAGTACTTATTAGCCGGTAAAACTACACAATGGTTAGGACCAGGGTTAGGGCTGGACTTCAAACATACTTGAATTTAGCCAGTATAAGTTTATCAGTAATTCTACAGTCACAGCGTATTGTGTATAAGCTAAACGTGATTTCAGACAGTCTCAAAAAAATATCACAAAATGTTAATATTGAGTCTAACTATTATCCAGACACAACCAAACTACCTAAGGGTCAGTCAGCTGGGAGACTGACCGGGTCATCGTCCTACCGACATCCTGAGGGGCTCTGTCTTCACTGTTAACCGGTACAGCTCCGTGCCAAATTTTGTGTTGATTTCTTTCGCTGGGTGCTATCACCAGGCAGGTGGTGCGTTTGCCTGCGTTTCTACAGCTGACTGAAGAAAGGCTTTTCAGGAAGTGCTTTAGAGGGCACAGTCACGTAAGGAGAGATGCTAAGTACCCTGCCACTCACTCCCACGACTACCAACTCTTCATTCCCCCCACAGCTCTCAGAATCCACCCCACCTTCTCTTCGCTAGCAGACCTGTCCCTCCTGAACCTGGATTCTGGGATTTGCCTCCCAGCTGCGCCCTTTAGCTCAGCTCAGAGTTACCAGGTCCACACCAACTTCTCACAATGCTCTTGGCCTTTTAAAATTAAAAGTGTGAGAGGTGGGGGGTGGGGCTAAACAGTCACACAAACCACTTAGTGGAGGGAAGAGTCACTTAAAAATGTCACCGGAGGGCAGGAGAGATGGCCCAGTGGTTAAGAACACTGGCTGCTCTTCCAGAGAGGTCCTGAGTTCAGTTCCCAGCGACCACATGGTGGCTCACAGCCATCTGTAATGAGATCTGGCGCCCTCTTCTGGCCAGCAGACGTACATGAAGGCAGAGCACTGTATACATGATAAATGAAATCTTAAAAAAAAAAAAGTCACTGGAAATAAGATGACCTCCCTTTTACATCATAGCATTCCAAAGACCAGAAGTTTCAAAACCATCAGATTATGGGAAATGTTTCTAAACCTCTAAGCCCGGTGGAGTTTTCACTCGTCTTGTCCCAAACTTGAAGACTCTTGCTGCTCCCCTGGCCCTTGGGTCATTTAAACAGATGTTCTTGAATCTGACTAAAGCACATCTGAAGCATGCTTGCTTATCCAGCCAATTAGTTATGACTTTTCTGCAGGAAGACGAAGACTTGTTTGTGTTTTATGCTGCGACTGTCTCGTTCTTGGTGATGATGTCCAACTAAGGATCGTCCTTGCTGCCCATTCCATCATCGATTCCCTCTTCCCTCCCTCTACGTTTAGGAAAACTGACAGAAGCTGGTCATAGAGAACTTGCCTCTAACCATGACTAGTTTATACTAAGAAAACCCAGACTAGACCAGTAGCTGGGGGGAAAAAGGGGGGGAAGGGGAAGGAAAACCAGAGGAAGCTGTGGACGATTACAGAAAGCCCCGGGGACTACCATAATGTCACTCCCGCTGCTAAGCTGTTCAGAGCACTCCAGTGGCCCAAGGTTGGCCCGTATGTCAGAGAATCTACTGGGAAATGGCTACAGGGAGATGGTCTGCCTGCCATGGGAGCTTTTTCTTTTAACTATTTTAAAAGCAGATTCAAGAGAAAGCCTCATACGCTAAAATACTTTTGCAAAGATAATAAGCTCATAAGGTGATCTGAACCAGAACCTACATTGGCATAGCATAACCGACTCCATGAAATTTATTTTTCCTTAAAATGATTAAGAACCTCCTTCTCATATCCAAGACAATAATGCTTTTATCTGGAATCAGAATTTCAGACACTTTTTTTAAGTTAAATATTAATCTTACTGATTTAGAGGACCCTGGTCCCACAGGAGTTGGGCTTCATACACTTGGCAAAATACTGCTATGACCTGAGTTTTAGGACTTTTAGTGAAACTAATGATTTATTTCACTAATAATTCACTAATACTCTATGTATATTAAGCTTTTAAGGACTTCAGTTTGCTAATGTTTAATGTGAAGAACCTTACAAGATACATGTTTATCATTTTAATGTGTCGTCTTCCTCCAGTGAGCACATTTTCATGGCATTAGGAAGAGAATGTGATGTTACATAATGCATCTACCACGTGATTTCTCCAGCATGGGGCTCTAGAGGGGAGGGCGCACCTCGCTAGGGCATTAGCAGTGCTGGGGCTAGGCAGCTGCGGTGACGCAAAAGGGGCACCTTGGGATATTTTAAACTCTTTATTTATTCCTCTCAGGGGAAACATACTGAGCAGGCTGCTGTCAAGCCGGGCATACATGACTACTTAGGGCAATGAAGAGTTAGGTATTTAGCCTCATGGCCTGAAGAAATCAGTCAGACCTCAAAGCACTGTGTTTGGGATCTTCTGCCCCAGGCATGCCCAGCAAGGTCTGACTGGAAATGGGAGGCGGAGTAACCCTGGGAATGATGTCCCTTATCTAGAACTCTGTTCTGTCCTCCCCCTGGGCAAACCAGTGTGTGCTGTCTTAGAAAAGGAGATGAAACATGTTTACTTACCAACAAGAGCCCCAGTATCTTTCCACAAAGGTCAACATGAATTTATTTAGCCTGGGAGAAGAGCCATCTGGCCCAATATTTAATATGAAGTGAAAGCCAGGCATGACATATCATTATGTTAATGTGGATGCCCAAAACTGACATGGAAAACGAGACCACTAAAACCTTCTAGAGGGTCTCTGGGACAGGCATCGATCCACATTTGGTTTATAAATCAGAATGCCAACATTAAAACCCCTAGTTCTTGCCAAAAAAAGAGAAACCTTTAAAATTATGGACCTCTCCAACCCTCAGAGTCCACATTATGTCCTCCAGATACCATTTGCCACCAAAAAGGAACAGTTCCTTGGAGAAACAGCAGACCATTGATCTGGTGTAGGAAACACATAAGCCTATGCCACACTGGAGAGCAAGAACCCTGAAGAGCTCTGGATGGGGCTCCAACCAGCCAGGGATGGCCTAACCTGAGCATCAGTGCTATGAACTGTGAGGTGTTTGCGTTAGTGAAAGCTTGTGACCTCACTTCCTAAAGATACGGAACAGGAAGGTTCACTTAGGGTCATTTACACGATTTATCAGGACACGTGTAGCTTTCACTGGAATAACTCGTTTTTCACTGTTTGCTGCTGTTTGGTGGACAGTCTACGTTTATGTGTACTGGTGTTTTGGCTGCATGTATGTCTGTGTACCGTGTGCATGGCTGGTACCTGCACGAAATCTGGAACTGGAGTTACGGAGGGTTGAGAGGCACCGTGTCACACTGGGAAATGAACAAGGGCCCACTGGGATAGCAGCTCTTCACTGCTGAGCCATCTCGGCAGACGGTTTCGTTTCATTGGTTGGTTGTTTTTCCATTACTGTTTTCCAGGCCCAGTTATTATTATCTATGTCATGGTCTACATGTGAAGCACGGTGGATTCCTGCCTCCCCCCCCCCCCCCACACACACACAAGACTCAGCTAGTGGATCCAATCACTGAAAGCAACTGGACAGCAAGGACTCTGACCTGATCGGTGGATCGACCTATTAGTAACCCTACTGACGGTTTCATAATCCTGATGGCATTACCGGGAGCTGACTGGAACTTTTTTTTGGAAGTGGGGCTTGCTTAGAGGAAAGTAGGTCACTGGGAGCCCTGGCACTGCAGGGTCTGCTGTCATGATATTCTTCCTGTCCACCACAAGCCAGTGGGAAGGGAACAAGTCCAATCACATGACTAAATCACATGTCTAAAGAATTAAAGAACCCCTCTCTCTCTAACTCATTTCAAGTATCTATCACACTGACAAAAAAATACAACCTGCTAGACCAAGCAAATGTAAACATGTCTTAGCCAGGCAGTGTTGGCACACTCATTTAATCCCAACACCTGAGAGGCACAGGCAGGCAGATCTCTGTGAGTTCAAGGCCAGTCTGGTCTACAGAGTGAGTTCTAGGACAGCCAGGACTGCTACACAGAGAAACTCTGTCTTGAAGAAACACACACACACACACACACACACACACACACACACACACACACACACACACACCTCAAATATAGCAGGAAGTAGCAAACACTAAAAACATTAGCCACATCATCCAGCAGAGGGTGGGGGAGGTCTCACCTTTGGCAACATCACACCTACCGTGGTGTCATTGCTGGTAACGTAAACCAGGACATCAGAGGAGTTCCTGCCATTGATGTATCGGTAGCAGCTCCAAACACAGCTTATCAAGTAACCCTGCAAGCAACAGTCACTGGGTTTTTAATTTTCAAACCGCAGATGATTTAAGACAACACAAAGTAACATCATAAAGCCTTTATTCACATACACATGCTAACGGTACTAAACCGAATGCACTTAAAAATTGCAGAAGTTGGGTATGGCAGCTTTCTGGCAAGGGGTGCACTGGCACAGCCTTGTTGTATCACAGCACACCAGAGGACTGTGTCCATACTTGGACAGTGGATGAGGTTAGGGATGGGAGGGGCTCACCTTAGAAGAGGGCTGTTAAAAGGAACCATGGCTACTGGTCAAATTAACTAACCTACTTACCACTCACTACACTACTTATTCTTTGCCAAGAGATGAACCAAACTTACTGTGTAGCCCAGACTAGCCTCCAGCCCCTCCACTTGAGTACGATGGCTTCCTGTTATTACAGGCACACACTATTTGACCGTTTTTATTCCACGGGGTTGTTTGATTTTATTATACCATTTTCTTTTAGGAGGTTTTTGTTTGTTTTAGTTTTTTAATGACTTATTGATTTTTATTTTATGTCCATTGGTGTGAGGGTGTCATACCCCTTAGAATTGTAGCAGCACCTATGTGGGTGCTGGGATTTGAACCTGGGTACTTTGGAAAAACAGCCAGTGCTCTTAACCACTGGGCCATCTCTCCAGCCTATTATGGTATCTAGAGGTACTTAAGATAACACACAAAAGAGCAATGTGCTAGAAATGATTCGTGAGAGATGTTAGATCAGGGATTTTCTCTGTGCTCTTGCATCAACCATCTTTAACTGGACCAGAGTTGAATTATTTCAAAATGCCTCCCTAAATTTTAAAATTCTTTGACTAAAAAAAAAAAGTTAGACAGAGGAAGAAAACAGGAATGTCACACACTACTATTAAAGATGTCAAACAGTATGGACCCAGCAATCCTACCCCAGGAACATGAATGTCTGTCTATAGGACTGAAAACTCATGTCCACCCACACTTTATGCGGGACTGTGAAGAGATGCATTGTTCACTCTAGCCAAAGTGGAAGCAACTGAATGCCTGTCGTGTGCTGGGTGGATACGCAGCACGTCATACAGCAGGACACACTCAACTATCCCACCGAGTGTTGTCTTCTTAAGTAATGACAGATGTGGGAGGGTCCAAGCACTGTGGGCGGTGTCACCTCGAGTCTTGGGTTATATGAAAATAGGAAGCTGAGCAAGCAATGGAGGAAGCCAGTGAGCAGTGTTCCTACATGATCTCTGCTTCAGTTCCTGCCTTGGCTTCCCTCAATGGACTGTGACCCAGGAATGCAGGAAGAATCAACACTTCCCTCCTCCAAGTTGCTTTTGATTATGGGTTTTATCACAGTAACAGAAAGCAAACTAGGGTAGCAACCTAGGAGGAAAAAAGCCTTCCACAAAGACCAACACACAGCGTTATTGTACTGATGAAAGTGTCTATAATACATCAATCTAGAGACAGAAAAAGAATGTAGTGGTTTCCCAGGGAAAACTATAAAGGACTGATGGCACATACCTTTAATCTCAGCACTCGGGAGGCAGAGGCAGAAGCATCTCTGTGAGTTCGAGACCAGCCTAGTCTACAGAGTGAGTTCCAGGACAGCAGGGGCTACACAGAGAAACCCTGTCTCGAAAAACAAAATCAAACAAACAGAAAACACCGTACTTATATAGTATGACAGCCTTGGAGCTATAGCTGCACACTCCTACAGTGCACTAGAAAGCACTGACTTGCATTTCCTTTAATAACATTTACTTATTTAGAGAGTGTGTATGTGAGTGTGTACAAATGCCCATATGTATGTGCATGTGCACACAACATTGTACATGTGATCAGAGGACAACACCCGAGAGCTGGCTGTCTTTTATTACACTCTGTGGGTTCCTGGAGCTGAACTCAGATCATTCACCAGCAAGGACCTTTACCCACTAAGCTGTCCATCCACCCACATTCATTAAAATGGTTGAACTTGGTGGCATAAATTGTATTGCAATAAAAACTGCATTTGTGAGATATTTATTCAAATACTTGCACCTAACTTTTGTGATGTTACCACTAAACACATGCAGAACATCATCGTAATGCATGTTGCAGTATTATATACTATGTAACGTGTAACCTTAATTTGTTCTCAGATACATCTTTTTTTTTTTTAATTTTTATTTTGTGTATGCATGTTTTGCCATGTGCCCACCATGTCCATGCCTGGTGGCTCAGACATCAGAACAGGGGGTCAGACCCACGACGAACTAGAGTTATGGATGGCTGCGAGCCACCATGTAGGTGCTGCTGGCACAGCTTGAGTCCTCTGGAAGAAAGCAAGTACTCCTAACCACTGACCCCTCTCTCCTTGACTGGCCTGAACAATTCAGGGTTAGGATTTCTCTCTCAGACAGACAACAGAGTAAACTGTAATGATAGGAAGTCAAGAGGCAACAGACAGATTATTTTGTTATTTCTTTAGAATTTGGGAGTACATTTAACATTTAGTACATACAGAGAATATCCGTGCTTACCTTAAATGTCAAAACAATGCTGATAAACAGAAGAATAATAAGGACGAGACATGTAGGATTCACGGACATTATATCGTCTCTGTAGGGAAAGCTGGGAGGCTGAAAGGGAGAGGGGTCTCATTAGCAAATCTCATATATATATATATATATATATATATATATATATATATATATACATATATATATATATACACACATACATACATATATATATATATTTTTTTTTCACTCTTTTACAGGACTCTGGCTTGGGCTAGCCTGCAGCATTCTCAGATAACTGCGTTTTTCTGTATTCCAATTCGTCAGCAGTAGCCATCAGGGTAATAATGTCCACATTCCCTTCCCTTGCTGTCTTTATCTCCTGCAGGTTCTGGGAGGTTATGATGCATACAGCGTCCCCAAAACGCCCTAGTAATCAGAACTCCTGCCTTTAAGAAAACACTCAGTGATCTGACCGGCCACTTGAGTGCAAGTTCAAAATCTACTTAACATATGTCCTGATAATAACATATGTCCCGATAACAATGTGTGTCCTGATAATACTCTGTCCTCTCTCACTCAGGCCCCTCAGGACAAGAGGCAGTGGGGAGGGAGGGAGGGAGAGGGGCCCACCTACCAGCTGTCGTATGTACTCCTGAATGGAGTTTGGATAGACAAGAATGGTGATCGCAACCAAGGTATTCAGGGCAAAATCGAAGATCTGGTAACAGAAGAACGGGATGATCCAGGCAGCGTGTTGCTAAACATGAGAAAACAGAATGGTCATGTGCTGGATGTAACAGGACTGAGTTCACCAATGTGAGGGACCTGGAGCTGGCAGTCATTAAGCCAGGCCATCATGGCAACTGGCATGCCAAGCTGGGCAGTCAAAACAAAATGGTGAGCGTTCATGGTATTATGTGTTTTACCAGTTTTCCTAATACCAGGAGGTATTAGAGATTTCTAAAGATTCTTGCAGAAAACTATGGATAACCCCGTACTCTGAACAGACAATCCCAGATTACTCTTGTAGAGCAGTTCTCAATCTGTGGGTGAAGATCCCTTTGGGGGTCAGACTCCTTCATAGGAGTCACCTAAGGTGATTGGAAAACACAGATATTTATATTTATGATTCATAACACTAGCAAAATTACCGTAGTGAAAATAATGTCATGGTTGGGCGCCACCGCAACACAAGGAACTGTGTTAAAGGGCTGCAGCACTAGGAGCATTAGAACCACTTACCTTGTATGCTCCGTAAGTAGCCATCGCACATATCAGGATCATGAGGAGAGAGATTGCAATAGCAATGCACATATCTGGCAAAAGGTCGGGGGGGGGGGGAGGCACACAGTTAGATCCACTACTGAACACACTGTGTTTCTCTTCAAAGTCTTTTTGTTTACACATCAAGTACAGGTGAAACCTTTATTCTGACTCAACCATCAGTGCTAACAAGTGCCCAGGCGTTCTCCCAAATCCTGAGTGATTGGTCACAAAAGGGCAGAGATACTGGTTACAGATAGCAAATGGAGTTGGCCTTCCAGTCCACTGACGATAGAAATACTTGTTAACTCGGCCATCCTATAGTCACACAGGTGTCTATTTGTGTTTTATGCACTTGTGCGTGTGAGACTTTTCCATACCTTACTCTTTCACTATGATTACAAACCTCAGTTTCTTTTCAAGACCCCAATGCCCCAATTTATTCTCAAGTGACTCTTCCTCTCATCTCACTTCACAGCTCGGGGCATCTACATCACCTAACCATGTTCAAACACCATTAACCTGCATTTCTCGTGTGATCAGAATTCCCAGGCAAAATCACCTCCTTGGAAATCTCCCCTGAGCATCCCATGCTTCGGCCACTGTTGTGGCGTTTCCTGTCCCGCCAGGTCCCAACCACCCTTCTCAGCTACAAATACAAACACAGACGCTGCATTAATTACTAAACTGTTGGTTGATGGCCAGGGCTTCTCATTGGCTAGCTCTGTCTTAATTATTAACCCATTTATATTTATCTAAGTATGCCCACGTGGTCTTATCTTACCAGAGAATGCTGGCCCATCCTATCTCCCCTGGAGCTACATGGCAACTGACTCTGGCAGGCTCTCCCTGCCTACCTTTCTCCTCGTCTCCTAGTCCCACCTATCTTCCTGCCAAACTGTTTTATTCATCAACCAACAAGAGAAACATATATACAGAAGGACATCCCCCATCACATCACTGTACCTTCCCACATGCACAATTATCGATCTTATTCTATTTCCGGGAGTTGCTGGATTCTCTCCAGGCAAGATCACTATACTGTTTGCTACCACCACCATCTGGGTAAGGAATGCCCCTCTAGGCGAAGCACCTACAGCGAAAGGCTTTGTAAGACACGTGGTGCGTGCGCGCACACACACTCATGTGCACTCAGCTTCCAGACTCAGTTCAGAGAGTGGCATTTATACTGGTTACAATAATCACCTTGGCCTTTTGTTGCTTTACATATAGCCTGGCTACTTGAGAACGACACGTTACGGTACATCATTGATCTGGAATGGTGCCGGAAGGTACTGACTGGACACTTCTTTATCCAGGAAGCCTGTATCTTTAGTGTATGGTGCAGCCAAGCTAAGTCCCAATGCTGAGGGCAGTGCACTATCTACACTTGACAGTTCTCAAGTGTTTTACTCTTCCCAGCTGAGGTAGATGCTATTCTTACTGAACAGAGTATAAAGTGAAGGCTTGGGGTTGCAGGACATTCTGAGAGCGTGTGCACCAAAATCGGCCATAGTTGGCCTGAAAGACACACCCTTCCTGCTTCAGCCTCCCCATGGGATTACAGGCCTGTACCACCATGCCCAGCTTTGGAGTTCCTCTGGAATAAGTATGTGGATAATTTTCTTTGATATAGAAAATCTGAAAAAGCAAATATATGCCATAAATACTATATATTGGGCAGTAGTGGCACATGACTTTAATCCCATCACTTGGGAGGCAGACAGATGCTGTGAGTTCAAGGCCAGCCTGGTCTACAGAGTGAGTTCCAGGACAGCCAGAGCCACACTGAGAAACCATGTCTTGAAAAGCAAAAAACAGAAAGAAACCCATGAAAATGGAGTCAAGGTGCTGAATATGCCAACTACTGAACCATGCGACTTAAGAGCACATAGACAAATGGATTCAAGGCTGAGAATCGATGGATGTTTATTCTCCATCCAATCCATTCCATCACACATGGTCAATTTTTTTGCTAACATGAAAAATTTATAAATTATAAATATACATGATTAATATTCCTTTGACAGAAATGTCTAAAAGCTAGATGTTAAAGTGAGCAAAATTCCTGCATTTTCTTTATCCTAATGAATCCCCCAGTGAGGAACTCCCTACTTTGATCATCTTCTACCAGATCACCTGAGAAAAAGTACTGCATGGCAAAGAGGTAAAGCCATGCAGTCTGTCCAGCCAGTTTCCTATCAGATCTGCCAACACTCAGGCAGCAACACGAGCTGGGTTACAGCTCATGTGGTAGAGTGTTCGCTAGCATTCGCAAGGCCCTGGGTCTCATCTCCAGAAGGCATGGTGGTACAGGCCTGGAGCATGATGATCACAATGGTCAGAAGCTCAATGTTATGCTAGGCTACACTGTTGGCTACAGAAGATGCCACTCCCCCATGTATCTATGTAAAGACACATGTATGTAAACATGTACACACATGGATCCATTTAAAAGAGATTGGTTTGATGTTTATGAGTGTTCGGCCTGCATGTATACGTACATACATGTGTGTGCAGGACCCACAGAGGCCAGAAGAGGGCATCAAATCCTCTGGAACTAGAGTTACATGTAGTGGCATCTTGTCTTGCCAGTGAACTTCTTGTGGTGGCCACACCCTTTGGGCATGGTTTCAGGTGCAGCCCTGACCCATTATTAGGCAGAGGGGGGGCTGGCTGCAGCTCTCTTGGGTTGAGGAGAGCATTGGAAGGGCAGAGACTGCATCTTCTGGAGCAGGAAGATCACAGTGGTTATTTACGCTTATCTGTGTAAGAGCTTCCCTAATAAACACCTATTTATCATCTATCTTGGGTCTGGTGGACTCATTTAAACCCTGCCTTCAGTTACACAGATGGTTATATAAGCCACCATGTATATGTTGGAAAGCCAATCCAGATCCTCTGTAAGAGACAAGTACTTTCAACCCTAGGCCATCTCTCCAATACCAAAACACTTCTATTAACTTAAGAATTTCCAATTATAAGTACACAGCTGACTGAACCAAACCTCAAGGCTTATTTAACTCTATCGACTCCTGGTTTAAATACTTGAAGGGCTGTCTGGTACAATGAGGTCTGACCTACAAAGTTAATGTCCCACCCCACCGACCCTGTGGAGTACTGAGGACAAAAACAAGTCTCATCAGGCAAGCATTCACCAGAGAGTTTGGTTTCCAGGCTTGTCTCCAAATTCAATTAACTAATGTATTTGTTTATTTTATTTTATTCTTTTTTGGAAATGGGGTTTTCTGCAGCTCAAAGCCGGCCTTGAACTCGTTATGTGGCTAAGAATAGCCCTGAACCTTTGACCCTTCTGCCTCAGCCTGTCTTCTAGGGTCAAGAGGCACCTGGACAGAAAACCACTGAGATCAAACAATAGTGGTAAACGACAGGTATGGATGGAGCTTGACTGCCCCCTTGACTGCCCTCTGGCTCCTTCTCTTGACCTCCTGGAGTCTGAGCCCTGAGTTCTCAACCCAGACCTCTGTCTCAACTTACACTAATTCACAGGCTTTAATCACAGCAGATCTGTCTTCTACGTACCCAGCAAGGGTACATTTCACCTAGCACTTACTACATCCTAGGCACTCTCCCAACCCTATCTGTTAGATACAATTAATTCCTCCAATTTCAGTCAGGACTACAGTAAACCAAGGTTAGAAATGAGCCCAGAGTGAGCACACAGCCCCCTTGGCATAACTGGCATTCAGTCTGAGCTCTTCAGAGCCTACACACTAATGTAGTGTTCGTCCTAGGCTGTGTTTCCAGCTTCCTTCACCAGCTTTTCTCACCGCTGTGGACACACACGAGTTGAAGAGATTCCAGCCTTGATCATCCCCTCTCACCAACCTCAGTCCAAGCCCAGCCACTCTCCCATCCCCAGTGCTTTCCTCCCTACAGAGAAATGTCTCTAAGACCAGACCCCTAGGCCACCAACCCTACCATATGCACCAGTTCATGCATTCACTTAACTCGTTTCACTCTGAAAACAAAATCCACACTTGGGGAATGGAGAGATGGCTCAGCCGTTAGGAGCACTGATTGCTCTCCCAGATGTCCTGGGCTTGCTTCCCAGCACCCACATGCCAGCTCACAACCATCTACAACTCCAGTTCCAGGGGATTTGATGTCCTCTGACCTCCTGGCACTTGTGGTACACAAATACACATGCAAGCAAAACAGCTTCTAAACACATCTAAACAAATTTTTTTAAACCCACAACACTTGTGGTTTCTCAAAACTAAACCCTTGCAGCTTGAGCCATCCTCCCAATATCATTTTGCCTTCCAGCCACACTTCCTTAGACTAATATAAAGTTCTACTGAGCTGGTAACAAATCAATTTGCCCAACCTCCTGTTCCAGGCCACGCATGGCACTACCTGTCACTTAGCCAAGGCCCAGCAGGATGGGATATGCAAGGTCTGTGCTACAGGTATCCCTGAGCTGGCCATTCCTTCTTACTCAGCCTCATGCCCAAATCCATTGCTGGGGAGAGAGGGGCTTCAATCTTAGCAAGTAACCAGCAACAATCACCTCCTGGAAAGAAGGCAACACCTGGTGTCATCAGAATATCCAGCGATGTATATGCCCTTTCACCTTCTTTCCTGCTATTTATTAACTCTCCTTGGCAAAAAAAACCCAAGTCTATGACAAAGCTCAGTGTGGTAGTATATGTCCACAATCCCAGCATCAGGAAGGGTCAGGAGGAGCCCAACATCAGATTTTGCTAAATATAAAGTTCCAGGTGGGGAGCTGGAGAGATGGCTCAAAGTTTAAGAGCACTGGCTGCTCTGACAGAGATCCTGAGTTCAATTCCCAGCAACCACATGGTGGCTCACAACCATCTACAATGAGATCTGGTGCCCTCTTCTGGTGTGTAGGGAGAACGCTGTATACATAATAAATAAATAAATCTTTTTCACATGAAAAAGGAAAAAAAAAAAAGTTCCAGGTCAGCCTGAGCCACATGAAATCCTGCCTCAAAAGTCTATGAGAAAGATATAATTTTGTTTGTTTGGTTGTTTGTTGTTTGGTTTTTTGGTTTTTCAAGACAGGTTTGTCTGTGTAGCTTTGGAGCCTGTCCTGGAACTCTCTCAGTAGACCAGGCTGCCCTTGAACTCACAGAGCTCCACCTACCTCTGCCTCCCAAGTGCTGGGATTAAAGGCGTGCACCACCACTGCCTGGCTGAAAAAGGTGCAGCTTTGAAAATATATAAATTCCAACTTGGCACAGAAGCCCATGTATCAGAGCACTTGGAGTAGAGGCAGAAACAGCAGGGACTTCAAGGTTGTCCTTGGGTCATAGAGAATGTGTGGACTATACATAATACACGAGACTCCATAAATATGGAGGAAAAGGATACTCACATAAGATGTGTAAACCTACGGATCTGACAGTCATTAAGAACAGAGACCGAGCATGGGCAGCACGTAAGTATTTGCTGATTTGATTTGCAATGATGGAGAGAAAATAACATTAAAATAGCAGCTCAAGTAGGCCCTTGAATCAATATTTGTAATTTAACAGAAAAGGCAGACAGTCAGACTCCTTGTCCCAAGAAACCCCATCTGAGGTACTTACTGGCATCATCCATGAACTCGAGTTCCCCTCCTAGTTCAGAGCTTGAGAAGTGGTACTGGTCGGGATCTGCCAGGGCGCTCAGCAGAACCAGCAGGACCACGGAGTTGATGATCTGCAGGAAGAAGGAAGGGAGGGGAGATGCTCGGACCAGCGAATCAGACCACTCACAGTGCTTCATGTCTGCAGCTGAGGGAGTGTGTGCAAAGCCCCCCAGGGAGAGGGCACTGGACACTTCGGAAGGCAGCTAAGCTGGGGAGAAGGCTCAGCGCTCTCAGACCTCCAGAGGCCACTGAAAAAGAACAATGGAGGACTGGCAAGATGGCCACACACACACACACACACACACACACACACACACACACACACACACACACACACACACACGGCACAATCTGTGATGATTTGAGTGTCAAATGTCCCCTATAGCCTTCAGTATTTGAACAGTTGGTCCTCAGTTAGTACCAGCACTGTCTGTGGAGGGTCAGGAGCTCTGGCCCTGCCTGAGAAAGCATGCCATGGGAGTGAATGTTAAAAGGTCTCAGACATTTGCTCTTCATCAGTTTGTGATTGCAAATATGCCATGCTTTCCCGCCATGACGGGTTTTATCCCTCTGCAACCATAAGCCTAAATAACCTCTCTTCCTCAAGTTGCCTTGGTCATGGAATTTTATAACTAATACACAATCCTCGAAGGGTATGGGGAGATGGTACAGGACAGACACAGAGGCCAGGGGCTGGGAAAGCACCAATGACATCCCCTACCCCCAGTCTCCCACTGAGGACACTAAAATCAGTGGGGCTTCAATCCCAACTCACATGAAAATGACCTTAACCTCTCTACGCATCCTTCTCTGTGTACGTCTAAAACATCAGGACCACACATTGTGATTAAAGGGGACAACACTGGCCGGGCAGTGGTGGTGAACACCTTTAATCCCAGCACTCGGGAGGCAGAGGCAGTCGGATCTCTGTGAGTTCAAGACTGAGCTAGTTCCAGGACAGCCAGGGCTACACAGAGACCCTGTCTGGAAAGAACCAAAAAGCAAAGGACAACACTCCAAAGCAACATTAAGAGTTTATGTGGATTGCCAAGCCCTACAAATCCTCTCAAGTTAATCAGAGCAATGCAAAATGATCCCTATTATACAGAAACGAAAGATGAGGCTAGAAAGTTAAAGTCACTGCTCAAATCAGAAAGTTAAGGCTGCAGAGAGGGGGTCTGTCAGGAACTTAATCCCAAACCTAGCTTCACGCCTTCTGCTGACACGGGCAATTCATTATCTCTGAGTTCACCATCTCTCATCTCCTACATTCCACACACAAATTTAGAAACACAAGAGTGCTCTGTTTTACTCTTCTCAAAGTGGAGAGCAAGGACCATTTAGTAGCATGGACTACAGGCACACCCTAAGGTTTGGAAGAACCTAAAACTCGGCAGTAAATATCCACTGCAGAGTTGTTAATGTGACGATCTCAAGAGATTATTTTAGGATTGTTGGAGGACTTGGGTTTTTTTTTTTTTCCTCCTGTACTTTCCAAATTGGCAGATGATGTCTGATGAGAAGGGCAATTCCTGAACACATATGTGACACTACAAGCATGAGGTTAGTGGCTTGTGAGGTTGAAAAAGGATCTCACATAGCCCAGACTGGCCTCTAATGTACTGCCCCTACCCCTCCAGAGTGCTAAGCCAATCTGATCTACACGGTGAGTTCCAGGACAGTCAGGAATACACAGAGAAACCCTGTCTAGAAACAAACAAACAAATAACGGCCAGACCAAGAGTAGATTAATGCCTCCAAAATACCTCTTGGTGCCAAAGCTCAGTATTTTTAAAGACAAAACCCACAGTTACATGGATGCTGGGGACAGGGATGGGGTACCCTTACAACATCTGTCTTTCTGCAGAGCTTAGCAGTATTTCCCAGACACCGTACAATAATAATTATTTTTGATTTACACTTCCTCTAGTCAGTTTTATGTTTTAGCTTGCACAAACATTAATTATTTTGGTTAATATATCTGGACTTCAGTGAGGGTGACAGTCCCCAAAGAGATGTGGCTGCTGGGGAGACAGGATGCTGTTACCTTAGTAAGGCACAGTAATTCCTGACACCAGGCTGAGGGCCTTGGGCGGGGGACTGTTTACCAGCTGGTGGAGAATCCTGAAGGCTAGGACAGGAGTCTGGGGCTTTCTTCTGAACAGTTCATTCATTCACGAGGCAGGGCAGATATGACATGGTCAGAGCCTTCTCATTAAGGAGACCTTGCTCTGAGCCCTCTGCTGACATAACTAGGTTTTAGCCACTTTATGTCTAACTCTCTGCTACGTGGAGTGGTCTTAGGCGCTTGGGTAAGTGCTATTGAGCCACAGTCCTTAGAGACACGGTAAGTGGCCAGATGCAAACCTGAGGGCGAGAGAAACAAGCAAGCCTGACTTCAAGCCTGGGTGTGGCTTGTCGCTACCAGCAGTGGCGGCTGGGAAGGTGACATGGTTGTAGCTGATACAGGTCCCTGCATGACCCCATGTCAGGTATTCACGCTGCAGCTGCCCCACCTGGCTTCCAACCCTCCGCTTACTCAGTGCTGCTGCCCATCCCCGCCCTGTCCCCAACTTCCCCCACTAAGTCCTGCCGGCTTGAAGGGTGTCTGCTTTCGCCTCCCCTCCGGGGTTTCATGATAGTTCTATTGGTTTGGTGTGTCGTCCTCTCTCCCTAGTATGCCCTAACAATTGTATTCATCCTTTCCCTGGGCAGGCTCCGCCCAGGCTCGGCAGCCTCCTTCCTTCCTGCAAGTGTCCCTGTGTATTGTGCAGTAATTCAGATAATGATCAACAGTTAGGGTTGGTGAGATGGCTCAGCAGGTAGAGAGCTACCTGCACTAAGACCTCATGACCTGATTTGATCCCTGGCAGGAAAGAGCTGACTGCTGAGTTGTCCTCTGACATATTTACATACAGTATCACACACTCATACACACAGGTACACACACCACAAAGAGAGAAATCATTTTTTTTTAATGATTTTTAGGAGATAAGGTCTTACTATGAAGGCATGGCTGGAATTCACAGAGATCCACCTGCCTCCCGAGTGCCAGGATTAAAGGCGTGCAACATGATGTTGGCTTAAGTGTGTGTGTGTGTAAAGGAAAATGACAAGTCTCTTGCACATCCAAATGATTATCATGTCAAAACAAAACAAACAAACAAACAAACAAAAAATCCCCACAACTTTCACCTCAAAGAGCTAAGAGATAGCTTATTCCGGAGCCAAATATGAATGACTCCAATTTCTGTGTTCCACTGTGGTGGTAGTTTCATTAAATTGTACAGTGACAGAATGGTAACAAAAACTAAATGCTGACACTTACACAGGTGGGAACATCAGGTGGGTGGCACAGAAAACCCGACTGTCAGCTACAAGCTTGGGGGCTGACCACATTGTGGAGCCGGGGTTCCTTCGTACATTCCAGAGGACTACCTAATAGTCAGAGATGTCAGGTCGCATACAGAGGTGGGTAATAAACAGCTATTAACTAAAGACGGCTCTGGACTCACAACATTCTTGCCTCCCACATCACTGAGGTGGTGAGCAGTTAACCAGTCTCGCAGGAGGTTTGTGGAAGGCGCGGCTCTTTCCCCTGTGCTTCTTCTCTTTGAGGGGTGAGATCTCTCCCTAAGAGAATCTGTCTGTCTGACTTTTCTTCTCTGTGTTACATTAAAAAAAAAAAAAAAAAAAAAAAAAAAACCAACAGCTGGGCAGGAACTCGGCAGCGAGGAGGGAATGAATAGAGAAGTATCCATGAGAACTTGGGTTAACACAAAGAGGCAGGGCTGCATCTCGCTCTCCTTGGAGACTGTTAACCACCGTCAGATGGGAGCTGCCAAATACAAGCTAAAGCCCCAAAGAACACAAGGTAAGAACTTCCTAAAGAGACGGCAGACGCCACTCTATCGTCAGTTCTGACCAAGAATGAAAACACAAAGGGGACCACGACAGGGCTAAGACTTGCCAGGAGCAGGCTACACGTAACAGCCACAGCCAATCTCAGTGCAAAAGTCATCCTGCCTAGCTCTTTTAGTTCGCTCATCTGTGTTTGGGCTGCCTCTTTCAGTGAGGTGGGTACCGATTACTCACAAGAGGTGTGTTAGACCCTTGTACATTCACCAGAGACCCAAAGTACTTTCAGCCTTAAGTCATGTGACAGATCTCAAATGGCATGCCAGCAACTACCAACTGCATGGAGCCAGACCCTCAATATCTTTATATACACTCAAAATGCAGGACCAACTGGGTATGATGGTGCATGCTTTAGGGGAGGGGCTGAACCATGCAACTCATGAGAAATATACTGTATAGGGGCTGGAGGGATGGCTCAGTTATTCCTGCAGAGGACCCAGGTTCAGTTCCCAGAACCAACTGTTCCAGGGCATCCAAAGACCCCTGCAGGTACCAGGAATTCACGCAGTACACATACCTGTATAGGCAAATCATCCATGCATAATAAAAATAAATCTTTTAAAATAAAAAACATATTTTTAGCCAGGTGGTTGTGTCACATGCCTTAATCCCAGCACTAAAGAGGCAGAGGCAGGCAGATTCTAAGTTTAAGACCAGCCTGGGCTACAGAGTGAGTTCCAGGACAGTTAGGGCTACAAAAAATAACAACTCTGTGTGTGTGTGTGTGTGTGTGTGTGTGTGTGTGTGTACATATGTACTAGGTAGTGGGTAGAAGCAAAGGATGCCCCCCCCCACCTCCAGGAAAGGGAAGAACGTGTGAAGCAATCTTATGAGATCTATGCTTTGAAAAGAAGAAAGCAGTCACATTTATATCATATAACATGATTCTATAGAGTGATGAGGCAGGCCTGGCCCAAAATCCAGTCAAGGCTGAGAGCAATGGGTACCTAGGAGCTTCAATTTTAAAGGAACCAGCACTAAGAGGCTGGAGCTCAGGTATGCAACAGGAAGGACAAAGTAGAGAATAAATAGGGTACACTGTCTCACTCTTGGGATTTCTGCAAGGGCTAGTTTCAGCTCTATAGTGAATCCAAGGCACCCACAGAATAAAAGGACCTTCTTCCCAAACACACAAATACATGCACACGCATGA